AGTAGGGGTACAGTTTAAAATAAATAGTAAACACATAACCAGTAACATGGTCTTTTGTTATCAAGTGTCATGTACTCAACATAATTCTATGTGTAATATTTTCATACGCAGCTTGTCTACACCAGCATCACCACAAACACTTGAGTAATGCATTATGCTAAGATGTTATGATGCCTTTGTCTCTAGGCGACAGGAATTTTTCAGTTCCATTGTGATCTTATGGGACCACTGTCATACATGCAGTCTGCCATTGACCAAAGTCATTATACAGCATATAACTGAACAATTGTCTTCATTTCATGTAACAGAATGCTTTACCATAATTGGCTACGGCAATGTCCCTCAAGTAATCAGCAGAGTATTTTTGGATAACAGAAGTTGACATTTAAGATTATACTAATTAAACATTTTTGGCATAATTTACAACAATCTATATGGATTTGGAATTATTTTATTTCCTTATTGATGAGTCAAGCCATAAAACCTAACTGGCACATAGGCCATCAGTTATTCTGTACTACCCTATTCCAAAGCTGCCACATCTCTGCTCACCCCCAACATTTGCTAGAGAGAAATTCCATACTAAAGACCACAGTTGACAAGAAGAAAAAAGTCAAATGATTCTACCAACTCTTTCAATGATCATATATTCCTTGTTTGGAATTTAGTAAATGCTATTTTACAACCCAAGAAGGCTGGGCATGGTTGCTCACACCTGTAATCCCAACACTTTGGGAGGCTAAGGTGGTAGGACTGCCTGAGGCTAGGCATTTGAGTACAGCCTAGGAAATACAGTGAGATCCCAACTCTACAAAAAAATTTAAGAAAATTAGCTGGGCATGGTAGTGCCCACCTATAGTCTGAGCTACTCAGGAGTCTGTGGTGGGAGACTTGCTGAACCCAGAAGTTCAAGGCTGCAGTGAGCTATGATTGCACCACTGTATTCCAGCCTGAACAACAGAGCGAGATCCTATCTCTACAAAAACTAAACCAAACCAAACCAGAAAAAGGGATACTTCGCAAATTACTGAAGATGTAAGATTCTGTTTGACTTTTTAATGTCATCTAATTCATTTTTTAAGAAGGGTATCAAGGAAATAATTATCAGGTATAGTTTGGGAAAAGGTGAGTAAATCTTTAACACAGTTGGCCCAGGGTTTTATTTGGTAGGTCTAAATTGACCTTACCGCTATGAAATTCCAAGTTTGTGCTTCAATACATGACTAAAAGAATGAAAATGAAATGACCAATAGTATATGTACCATTTTAGTTTTTATTAATAAAATAGAAACCTAAACTAAGACAACTGCTTTATTCTTGCATCTAATCTGACCATATACTGGAGTAGCAATTCTTTATAAAAGGACTTAGATGAGAATTGTCAATATATCAGTTCCATCAAAAACTCTAGGTTGAAATATCTTAAAAAGAACAAATTAAATATGAGAAAGCACAGAAATCTCTCGCTCAAACAAGAGGAGTCTCGTTTAATAGTCTTTAATATAGCTCATTTGCAATCATATGAAAATCCACCAGGATCAGTCATGTTGCACAATCCCTAAAGGATAAAACTGAGGGAACTCATGGATAATTTTCACAGCTTCATTGTAAAGTCCAAGATCTGAAAGAAACATTTAAGCAAACATTTCATCTACAGTGGAAAGTTGTAACGTCAATTATTACCTAAGATATTTTTACTTATTTCCCTTTTCTCACCCTTTGGAAGTGAATTTCTAAAAATGGAGATATGGATTACAGATTCTTGTATCTAACTGTGGCGCCAAAAGAAAGAAAGAAAGAAAGAAAGAAACAAAAAAACATGGGAATACCATCCATTTCGATGTTCATTATATAGGCAGTATCTGCCTGGTAGTATTTTAAGTATTATGGATTATTCCATTCCTTCAATTCATATATTACAACAAAACAACTAATATTATTTTATCTGTTATATTAAAAATTATCTTTCTACAAATATTAATTAATCTTTACTGAGTTTCTTACATATATAAGCACTACTTAGAAGCAGGACAAAACAAAATGTATTCCCATTTTCCTTTAGGATCAGAAAATTCTATAGAAATTGAAAATATGACAGTACTAAACGCTAGACCAACAGATATAAAATTAAAAATAAAATTGTTTTCCTGCTAATTACATAAAACCAGTCAATACTAGAATGCTTTAGTTACCAAAAGGATGGTTATCTTCTTTAAACTGGACATAAGATGAACACATGATGGTTGCCTTAGCGGTTACTTTCCCAACCACTTCCATAATTCCAGATATTTCTTCATCAAGCTAAGACATGGAACAGAACATCAACTTGCTGTTATCACATTTTCAGTTGACAATTAATTTGGAAAACTGTTAATACAGGTTACTAATCTTTCAATTCAAGTAAGAAAGTAATTTTAAAAATGACCAATGCAAAAGTTAAAATGTAACTGGTTAAAAAACGTTTGAGTACTTAACTGTCAGCATGTTAAAATTCTTGTTACCTTGAGTAGTAGCTTCAAATCCAAAGCTACAATTCAAGTTAAAGACAAAATTACTTATTGAAAACGTCCAACATTTCTATAAGCAGTAATTTCTTATTGAGAGGAGCCTTCTATAATTTGTATTTCACAATGGATACTGTATAACCAAATATCATATGGATTTGTCGTCACAAAATACCAAAAAAGTTCTAAGTACATTAAACATAAAATGAAAAAATAAGTAAAAATTGAAAATATATAAACAAAAACAGAAAATAAAATAAAATTTAAAACTCTTGCGGGGTTAATCCAGGCAGGAGGATGATTGCCTGAGACCAAGAGTTCAAGACAAGCCTGAGCAACATAGGGAGATGCCATGTCTTAAAAAAAAAAAAAAAAAAAAAAAAATTAACTAGACACAGTGGAGCATGCCTGCAGTCCCAACTACCGGGGAGGCTGAGATGGGAACAACTTGATCGTGGAAGGCTGAGGCTGCAGTGAGCCACGATGGTGCCACTGCATTCTACCTGGGGCAACAGAGTGAGACCCTGTCTCAAAACAAAAAAATTCTTGAGGAAGAAAAAAGCAGTTTAAATTTTTCTTATGTAATTTTATGGCCTTTCATAAGGAATGAAAATTGTTATCCAGCAATTAAGGGACATATTCAAAAATCATGAAGCCCAAAAAATCATTGGTTAAAAATGTAAAAGGAAATATAATGAGAGAATAGTACAAGAATTTAATTTTAGAGCCAGGGATGTTTCACCAGCTCATCCTTTTTACATCCACTCCAAAAATTAGAAACATCATCAGCAAACCAAACCCAGATGAAGAATTAACTATAATATATATGAGACTTATTAATACTTAAACATACAGGTTCCATCAACTCGATGGTTCCATTTTTTCCTTCTCCATCTGAAAGAATAAACATTTTTCCGGAGGGATGAATCTAAAAACGAAACATATGATTAAAATCTCATTAAAACAACAAATAAGTTTGACAAAAGATGAGCACATTGATCCTTAGTTGAGAACAAATCAACTATTTTTTGAACAGTTTATTCATTCTATTCAATTCAGTTTATTCAATTATTGGTTCAAATTATAATCTTATGTTACCAAATCTGTTCATGGGACACACAGTTAATTCTGAATTTCAGATAAACAAGGAATTTGTTTTGTAGTATAAGTAGGTTCTGCATTTGCTAAATATGGCAACGCTATTCCAGTAACAAATTAAAGGAAGGCCCGTCCTAGCTAAAAGTGAAAACTGCTGGCACTTATGATTTAGACAGTACATAACCCATGGAGGTTATGTTTTAAAAATCAGGCATGATGAAGTAAACGGAGAACTGGTTGCTAGAATATCTGGGTCCTACTCCTGGGAAGCAGCTGTAAAGAGCGCTGTCAGATCTCATTTGAATGCCAGCTTTGCCACTTGCAGTTTCTCAGCATTTTAGTCAACCACCTGCCATTCCTACTCAGTTTCCCTACTTGTGAAGTCAGAGTAACACTCATTTAAGGAAGAGGATGTGTAGATGTAATGAGCTACTAAGTAAGTCTTTATAGTTTTTTCCCACCTCAGCTTCTCAGGTCACTGATTCCAAGACTTTGGGCCTGTTTCTCGCCTGTAGAATGAGGGGACTTCACTTTAATAGTGGGGTTAGATAACTCGCTACTACGGGATTCAAAGCGCACAATCAAGACAGGTTTTGCGAAGAAGCGATTACAACGAGGAAACGAAGTTTGCAAAAAGAAGTAATTTCAGAAGAGAAGGAATAAGCAGATCAGTTTTGCCGGCGTCTGTCACGTCTGAGTAAACTAAGAAATCTGAAGGTAAATGTGGGAGTCCCGTCTATAATTTCCCTTAGATAAGCACTGTCTGAATGGAGGCGAAGAACACTGGAATTTAGAACGCAGAGCATCTGAAAACACCTTGTTTCCGGGCCATAAAAGAGGCACCAAAATGGGGCTATAACGGTTAAAGAATTTTCAAAAAGTCTCCTTGTGCAAAATAAAGGATTCGGGAGCGCAGTGACCTGAGGCTTTCCGTCCTCCTTCAACCCCCGTTACCCAGTTATCCACTCAAAATCCGCCACCCAGGAGGTCACAGGGTCCCTCCCTCCGGCCTCGGACAGCGGAGCCCACAACGGCGAACCCGCACCTTTTCCACCTTCCCTACGAAGCAGACAGGCCTGTCGATGAATTGAATTAGCATGCTGGCGTTGATGCGCGCCCTGGGCAACTCCATCATATCCACCATGATTATATGGTCCAAGACTGCGGCGGGCGGGAAACCCAAGAAAGACTGAAATTGTGCGCCCCGCGGGTATCTATGGGGCAGATTTCCCGGCACCAATCAGCGAAGACTAGAGCTCCAGCTTCGCCAATTAGATGCGCGGAAACCTACATCGCCGTCGCGCCGTCTCTGAAAGGGGTGCGGTAGGGGCGCGATGCGTCCGGAAGTGGAGATTGGCTGCTTAGAGACTCGCGGCGTCCCGGAAGTTGCCGGATCCCAGGCTAGCGGCAGTGGAGGCAGGGCTTGGATAGGGGCGGAACCTGAGGCTCCCCTGCTGCGCTCACCGGCTTCTCCGCGGTGATTTGACCCCGGAAGTGGGGTGTGGAGCTCCGGTGCCGGTGCGGCGGGGGACTGCAGCACGAGCCTCAGGTACCTCTTCTCGCGGGAGGCGCCGCAGCCTTACGGTTTCCTCGTTCTTCCGGCTAACAGAGTCAAAAGAGCTAGGCGGGATTTAGGTACCAGCTGTTGCCGCGGTGCTGTGGGTGCTGCGTACCAGCTGTTACTGTTGCTCTGCCTTTCCTCTTCCAGGTTCTGCGTGGGAGGCGCTGGAGCTTTGCTGAATGAAATGTGGTGCGGCGAGGGGTGGGGGGGGTTGGTTGTGATACTTGCACCTTTGGAGATGGGGAGCGGGGGTCGTCAGTGATCTTGATCAGTTTCTTCAGGCTTTTGCCACTTGTTGCGTGAGGGTCGATTTACTCCCTTAGCTGCGTCACTCTACTTAAGTTTCTCCACCTTTAAGAAGAGAGATTGGCCCGATTACTTCTAAGATTTTTTTTTTTTTTTAGCCCAGACAACCTGGCTACACTGCGGTGGTGCCGGTTCTCTCACTCCACTACCCCATCTGTTTTGGCAGCCAGTAGAAGCACTTAAGAATAGGTAATGGGGAAGGACCACTGACCAGGACCAGAGGAAACAAGCTTAAATCGTTGTTATACCCTGAACCAGTGTTCCCCGAGCTACGGTTCCCCCTTCTGAGGCGTATTTTCCCCATCAGAAAAACGAAGGGTTAGGCGGAATGATTTGCAAGGTCCCAGCTGACTCTTAACTTTTGGCCATTTGCTTGACGCAACAGTTTAAACCCCCCACCCCACCCCCAGCAGTCTTTCTGTTGTTGTCCTCCGCAACCCGAGACTCTGGAGGGCGATCTAGAGGTCTGGAAGATAACCCCTTCCAGGGAGATTTGGAGGTAGTCACCAGTCTGTCCCTGGCTATCTTGTGACCCGAAGCCGGCGGCCTTGCCAGGAATATTCTAGAATGAGTGCACATAAAAATACCTTCAAACGGTGCTGTGGAATTTGGACAGACGCTTTAATTGGTTGTTATAACGTTGTGGAAACTGAGTCTGTGATTTTACCCAAAACTACAGAATTGTCATCGTTCATATTCCCTAAGCAAAAAAGATCCGGTTTGAGACTTAACGTGGCAATTTAAGATTGGAATCTGATGTATGATAATTAAATGATAGTCTGCCTCAGTGTTAACTTAGCACTTAATAGGTTTGTCTTAGTTTTACTCACTAATAGTAGTTTAAAGGATTTCGTTAAACAGATGTAGAATGTGTATCAGTGGTGTATAGAAAGTGGTGGTTGTATTGGTGCAAGTCAGTAAAGTTCATTTTATATATCTGCATAAAGCCTTAAGTCTTTTATACCTTAGCATTGCCTTGCAAAGTACGTTGATGTGCATTATATAGGGGAGAGAACACACATGAGAGTCTTCAATGTAATAGTTTTTTTTTTTTTTTGTTTTTTTTTTTTTGAGACAAGATCTCGCTCTGTCAGCAAGATTGGAGTGCAGTGGCATGATCATAGCTCACTGCAACTTTTAACTCCTAGGCTCAAGCGATCCTCTCACCTCAGCCTGGCAAGTAGCTGGGACTATAGGCGTATGCCACCACACCCAGCTAATTAAAAAAAATTTTTTTTGTACAGATGGGGTCTTGCCATATTGCCTAGGCTTATCTCAAACTCCTGGGCTCAAGCGATCCGTCCCTCTCTCCTCTACATCCCAAAGTACTGGAATTACAGGTATGATCCTCTCAGCCTGTAATAGCAATTTTTTTTTTTTTTTTAAAGAGCCGTCCTGAGAGCACCAAATGCTAATGTTGTTTCCTTGCAGTTAAAAAGACCACTTTTAAGCAAAGGCTTTCTTTTAAAACAGGGAGATGAGCAAGAAGATAATTTGAAACAAATTTTTTGCTTATTTTTGAGTCACTTAAAATGTTATGAAATATATGATATACAGAAAAGAGTATAGATAGCCGATTTGCATAGTTTTGAGAGAAATGAATTGAATCCATGGGGCCTGTCATTCAGCCGAAGAAATGGAAATTTACCAGTTACCAGTAAATTATACCAGTCTACACTTACCCAATTAGGTCCTTCTCACTACAGCCGTAAGTAAACACACTATCTTGAAATTTGTGTTAAGGTTCCTAAGCTTTTCTACATAATTTTATTACATACGTAGTCATTTCTAAATGGTACGTTGTTTAGTATTGCCAGTCTTTGACCTTTATGTAAATGGAAACGTTACGTATCTTCTGACTTGTTTCTTCTGCTTTTGAGATTCATCTATGTTGAATGTATATATATATATATATATATATATATATAGTCACAGGTAGTTAGGCATGAGCCGGGCAGTAGTGAGCTCTCCCCTAACCTACTAGAAATGTCCGGCAATGGTTTGGCAATTATCGAATTGCCTCTCTAGAAATGATAATTTGGGTTGGGTGCAGTGGCTCACGCCTGTAATCCCAGCACTTTGGGAGGGTGAGGCAGGCGGATCACCAGGTCAAGATATCGAGACCATCCTTGCCAACATGGTGAAAACCTATCTCTATTAAATATACAAAAATTAGCTGGGTGTGGTGGCGTGCGCCTGTAGTCCCAGCTACTCAGGAAGCGGAGGCAGGAGAATCGCTTGAACCCGGAAGGCGGAAGTTGCAGTGAGCCGAGATCGCGCCACTGCCCTCCAGCCTGGCTACAGAGCGATACTCCGTCTTAAAATAATAATTCGAGCGCCAGGGAGAGGCCATTTCTTTTTTTTTTTTTTTTTTTTTTTTTGAGATGGAGTTTCGCTCTTGTTACCCAGGCTGGAGTGCAATGGCGCGATCTCGGCTCACCGCAACCTCCGGGGAGAGGCCATTTCTAATGGTCCACACCTGTTATCAAAATGTTTATCGAATGCAGACCCAAGGGAGAAACAGCTTTCTGGGCCTGCATGTTAAGAGACAAAAATGGTAAAGTATGATCTTCCTGGTACACTCCACCGGAAAAAGGAAGAAAGTCTCAGATGGGCGTTCGTGTAATCCCGTAACCACACTACCCAAGGGTAAGGAGGGCTCTGCGCATGCGGGCAGCCCAGCCTAAGGGAAGAAGCATGGGAAAGAGGCGGGTGTAAAAAAGCTTTACATTCCTGCTTGGGTCTCTAACAGGTACACCTTCGTTTCTTTACTGTTTAGGGCCTTTTTAAGTAAACTTCCATTCCTGCTCTGGAACTTGCTTGGATCTCTTTTTCTGCTTTGTGGCCCTCAGTCAAATTATTTCTTCTGAGGAGGCAAGGACTGAAGTTCCTGTGGACCCGTAAGGATAGGCCACCGGTAACTTGGGGTAACTTGGATGTTTGCCGCCAGTAACAAAATGATTTCCCCAAATGGTGGTATTTACCCTGTTACCTGGAGTATAAGAGAGTTACAGTTAATGTATATTATTGGCAACCCTTGAAGTTTTTTTCCCCAGTTTGATGGATATGAAATGGTTTTTTGCCGTGACCTTAATTGTACTCCCTGATTACTGATAGGTTTGAACATCTTTTCAGATTTTTATTGGCTATTTATGTTTTAATTTTTTCCTTGATTTTTCTTTTTCTTACTGACTTTTAAGAGCGTTTTATTAGTGGAATATTGTAATGGTACAAAATGTTGTGCTTTTTTGGCCTATCTTTCCATTTCCTTCTTCTTTTTTTTTTTTTTTTTTTTTTTTTTTCTTATAAATTAGAAAGAGCCCTTTTGCCGGGCGCGGTGACTCATGCCTGTAATCCCAGCACTTTGGGAGGCTGAGGTGGGCGGATCAAGAGGAGAACAGATCGAGACAACCCTGGCCAAAATGGTGAAACCTCGTCTCTACTAAAAATACAAAAATTAGCTGTGCGTGGTAGCACGCGCCTGTAGTCCCAGCTACTTGGGAGGCTGAGGCAGGAGAACTGCTTCAACCCGGGAGATGGAGGCTGCAGTGAGCCGAGATCGTGCCACTGCACTCGAAGCGACACTCTGTCTCAAAAAGAAAAAAAAAAAAAGCTCTTTTAATATAGTTAAACATTTTCCCCCTTAAGTTTAATATAGGAAAAAAGTCAATTAAAATCTCATTTATGAACTCTTTTGTACATCATACTCTTAAAGGTATTCTATTTTTCCTAAAATTCTTAGTTTTGCCTTTCATATTTAATAGTCCGTCATCTAGAATTCACTCTTTATGTATGTTGTCAGATGGATCTCCAGTTTCTTTGTTTTGTTTTAATTTCAGTTGTCCTAACGTGATTTCACTGTATCACCTTTTTGTCACTGACCTTCACATGTCACCTTAAATTTACAGATACATGTGGAGTCGATTCTGTTCTGTGGATCTAGTTTTCTGTCCCTGAACCACTACCTGTTTTCTTTAATAGTGTAGCCTTATCGTAAGTTTTGATGTCTGGGGCTGTGTTCTTCAGGAATGTCTTGGTTATTTTTGTCACTTTACTGTTCCATGTAGAATATAGCTTATTAATTTCCATGAAAAACTGTTGGAATTTTGATCAAAATTGTGTTGAATCCTTAGATGTATTTCAGAAGTAACAGCTGAATGTCATCTATTACTATCCTTGAGCTATTTTGGTCCTCTTAAAATCTTTCCAAAAAGTCTCAAACTTTTCTGTATAAGAGTTTTGACTTTTAGCTTATATTTACTCCTAGATACCTTGTTTTTGTTGCTGTTATGAATGGTATCATTTTTTAAATTGAAGATTTTAACTGATTGTTTTGGTATATAGAAACGCCATTTTAAGAATTTTCTATGAGTTTTTTTGAAATTTTCTATTCATATTTGAATAATTATAGTTTTGTTTCGTAAGAATTCTTACATATGTTATTTATTTTTCTTACCTAGTATAGAGCCTTCAGTACTATTTTGAATAGAAATAGTGTTTAAGTCAAGATGGGTTTGGCTGCACAAATGAAAGTATCTTTAATGCACAAATGCTCATTCTCACACGTGAAAGAAGTTCACAGCTATGTAACTTAGTACGTATGTGGTAGTGCCACTAAGATCTTAGGCCCCCAGGTTCTTTCTGTGTTCCTGTACGTTCAACATCTAGTTCCATATTTATGGTCACC